CTGTGGCTTCTGGCTCATGGCTCCTTCTCTGCCCCCAGCTCCTGGTACCTTCTCTCTACTCTGTGTTCATTAAACCTTAATAGTCAGAGGTCCTGCCTTAGTTGGTGGCTTAGTTCTTCCTTACCACCACATCTTCTAAGACAGAGAGGCATCAGTCCTGAGCAGTTTGTTGTTTTGGTGAGGTTTTGGAGGAAGCATTATCCTAACTCATGCTATGGGGCCCTGTTTCTTTCTGGTGATGACATATGACCACTGGGGCCAGCCAGTCCTTCCTGGGGTTAATGTAAGATATGATTTTCCCAGAAATGTGTGTCTTCGTCAGGCTCCCATATAGCTCATGACCAACAGAATAATTGAAGGAGACCTAAAGTCAGTATTTGCAATAGTTCTAGTAAAAGTGTAGATATGGGTGACGTGGACCTGAAGTGTTTTTTTTTCCCCTTGTATCACATTAACCTGGGGAAAGTCATTCTAACTAGTGCAAGAATTACCATATCTATAAAGTATAACTCACCAGTGGTAAACAGTATCTAACAAACCTAGTCTGAGGTTTAAGACTCCTTCCTGTGAGTCTTCCTTACCTTCTTCTCCTGTGAGGAGAACATTCTAGTAACGGGACACAGCTACGGAAAGAGATGCAAATGAGTGCTGTCATCACCTCTGCATTGACCTTGAAGGTCATGTCCATAGCACACTAATGTTGTTTCTGTTCAAGTGTTTCTGACCCTGTCCTATGTTCTTCTGAATTTTTTCTTATAGTGGCAGTTGTAATCCCTTTAAGAATAGACTTGATTTTTAAAAGAGCTAAAGGTCTTTTCAGAGCCATGTCTTATCAATATAAAGGCCAAGAAAGCAGGAGAAATAACTTATGTAATAGAAACAAACTCCACCTCTGAAGTGACTGGAGTTTTTTCCATTCAAAGTGTGGATGGTTCCCGCAAATGAAAGGTCCCTGGCAGTGGCAGAATCTTGGAAGGAGGGTGTGGCTTCCCCTGGTAATAACTTTGAGGGGCAGCCTTCACCTCAGTACTTACTGCCTTTGTTCAAAAGCGAAGTCAGTCCTGTTGTCTCTCTGGTCACATTTTTGTCCCACGTTCGGTGGTGTCGTGTGGCGCGGGAACATTGAGAAGGAAAATACTTTGGAAAATATGTAAATTTAAAAGCTCTTTGAAGAAATGATGGTGTGAAGATATTATGCACTCACATTTGGGTTTTGTTTCATCTCCTGGGAAAGCGTGAGGTTTGTGTTTGTTTCTTACAGTTTGTTTTATCACTTGGACGATAATCTTGGTATTTAAACGGTTATGTCTGATTTCAAGTGGTTAAAATCTGTGAGGGCTTTCATTGGCTGCCTTTTTGTTTTCAGGCCAACTCAGCACATTAAAATAAGCATGATAAATTAGCTCCCATAAGAAAATTTTAAAACAAGTTAGATGGTTTTAAGTAGAAAGAGATCAAATCAAAGTACTTTCCTGCGCTTTTGTACTCAATGGTGAATTAAGTCCAGGCACATAAAACGTGCTGTCAACAGGTTCGTATTCCAATAAATAGTGAATTAGATCACAGCATCTGCAGGGCCTGGACATGAGGCTAAAAGCTAAACTTAATTTTTAAGTATATAATAAATCTCGTCTCGTTGAGCACTTTGGGTCCCCACTGTGCTTTCCAGCTATCGATCACGCGGGTAGATGGGATGTCTGTTTGCCCAGATGGTGTTTCGGTTGCGTAAGTTAGACGTTTCATTTATTTATTTCCTCCATGTCTTCACGGTAGCTTGATTTTGTCTTTTTTCATCATTCCCTGCCCATAAAGTTGTTCGAGAAAAGAGTAGTTTGAGAGGAAAAAGCTGGAAATGGGACACTGTGTAAACCCAGCTCCTGAAGTGAGGAGACGTGGGGATGGAGGTCTGGGGGAGGGCGGTGGTGGCCAAACCTGAAGGCATAGCAGATGCAATGGCTATTACAGAAGACTCCCGTGTGTAGCAAGTAAGTAAGGTGACACTCAGGCTCTTATATAACATGTAAGGGAAAGCCTTGTTTCAACTCTGACCCTGGTCGTTTGGTCTGCATACAGGAGTATAAAGTTAGCTCTCACTGTTTAGCTCTCTGTTAAAAGTTTTATATATTTTATTTTGTAAAGTATATTTTTGTTGATGATGCTATTACAGTTGTCCCAGTATTTCCCCCTTTGCCCCCTCTAGCCAGTACCCCTCTTCCCTCCAGCAATCCCCCCCCTTAATTCATGTTCATGGGTCATGCCTATGAGTTCTTTGGCTTCTCCATTTCCTATACTGTTCTTAACCTCCCCCTGTCTATTTTGTGCCCACCATTTATGCTTCTTATCCCCTGTACCTCTCCCCCCCATTCTCCCCCTCCCCCTCCCTGTTGATAACCCTCCTCATAGTTTTGATCTTCTTTTTCTAAATAAGTCCCTTTAATATTTCATATAATAAGGGCTTGGTGATGATGAACTCCTTTAACTTGACCTTATCTGGGAAGCACTTAATCTGCCCTTCAATCCTAAATGATAGCTTTGCTGGATAGAGGAATCTTGGATGTAGGTGCCTGCTTTTCATCCCTTTGAATACTTGCTGCCAGCCCCTTCTTGCCTCTAAGGTTTCTTTTGAGAAATCAGTTGATAATCTTATGGGAACTCCTTTGTAGGTAACTGTCTTCTCTTCTGTTGCTGCTTTTTTAATATACCAGGTGCTTGATTACACTGTTCTTGCACTCAGCTCTAGGAGTAGCAGATGGAAGGCCTATAGACAATCACAATACAGATGAGATGTGCACAGTGTCATTGAGATATAATTCAGTCCACATACCATAAAATTTTCCCATTTAAAGGGTACAATTTTTAGCATATTCGCAGTTGTGTGAGCATTACCCAAATCAATTGCAGAATGTGTCATCACCCCTCAAAGAAACGCTCTGCCTTTTGCTGTGACTCCCTTTGTGCCTTATTGCCCTTCCTCCCAGCCCCAGGCAACTGCTAATCTACCTTTTGCCTTTGTAGATTTGCCTGTTCTAGACATTTTATGTAAACGGATGATAGGACAGGTGGTCTTTTGTGACTGGCTTCTAGCACTTAGCAAAATGTTTTCAAGGCTCATCCTTGCTGTAGCATGAGCATTTCACTACCTTTTATTTCCAAATAATATTCCATTGTATGAATATACCATTTTATTTATCCATTGGTCACTCGATAGACATTTAGATTTTTCCCCCTTTTTGGCTGTTATAAATAATGTTGCTATCAACACTCAAATTCAAGTTTTGTGTGGGTGGGCATATGTTTTCATCTCTGTTGGGTGTGTACCCAGCAGACTTGCTGGACCATGCAGTAACTCTGTGTCTACCCATTTGAGGAGCTGCCAGACTGGCTGCCAGAGTGGCTTCCAGAGTGGCCGTGCCACTGTGTGTTTCCACAGCAGCGTATGAAAGTTGCAGTTGCTCCATATCCTCATCAACACTCATTATGTCTTCCTGATGATCGCCATCCTAGTGGGTGTGAAGGGCTGTCTCATTGTAGCTTCAGTTTTCATGTCCCTGATGACCTATGATACAAGCCCCTTTTCATGTGTGCTGTTGGCAGTCTGTGTATGCTCTGTGACGATATATCTGCTCATCAGATGTATGATTTGCAGGTGTTTTCTTCCACTCCAAAGGTGCTTGCTTTTTTTGCTTTCTTTATGTCTCCTTTGATGCACAAAACTTTTTTTCATTTTGAGGAAATTCAATTTATCTTTTTTGTTTTAATTACTTGTACTTTGCTCTCATGTCTGAGAAACCACTGTCAGATCCAGGGTCACAAAGATTTACTCTATGTTTTAAAAAAACTAGAGTTTTATAGTTTTAACTCTTTATGTCTATGATCCATTTTGAGTTAATTTTTGTATATGGAGTGAGGAAGGGGTCAGACTTCACCCTTTCACGTGTAGCTATCCCGTTGTCCTTGTACCATTTGTTGAAAAAAAAAAACTATTCCTCATTGAATTGTTTTGGCACCTGTGATAAAATCAGTTGGCTGTAAGTGTGAGGATTTATTTTTGGGTTCTCAGTTTTATTCTATTGACCATCCTAATGCCAGTACTACACTCTCCTAATTATTGTAGCTTTATAGGAGGTTTGAGTGCTTTCTAATATTTATGTAACATTTTAATTCCTCTCATGATTTTTCCACTTTTTTTTGAGTTTTGTCTTTGTAGTTATTTAAGTCATATATCTCTTATCACAATCTACTTATAATTTATGCTAACTTAATTCCAGCAAGCTATAAAAAGATTACTCTGATGTAGCTCCATTCCCTTTTCTTCCTTTTGTGTTATTATTGTTATGTGTGTGACATCAATGTATGTTACTCACCCAGTGACATACTGTGATAATCATTACTTGATACAGTTTTGTCATTAAAAGAAGATGTGAGCAGAGCAGGTATATATGTATAGCTTCTGTTATAAAATCTTCATATTTACCATTTCTCTTCCTCTTCATTAGTTGTAAATCAGACCTTCCATCAGATAGACCCAACGGTGCCAGCCAACAGGATGTAGACCCAGTTCTGTGTATAGTGTTAGTCTATGCATGGCACAACTAAGCATCACTGTTAACATTGCAGTAGATGTGGACTCATTTTTACAGCTTATTGGCAAATGGTCGGAATGTCTTTTAATGATTACAGTATATGAATCTCAGTACTTTATAGTTCTGTCCAATTAAACTGTCTGTGATGGTGAGGTATTCTATATCTCTGCTTTCCAACATGGGGGTCATAGCCACATGTTACTAATGAGCATTTGAAAAACTGGATTTTTAATTTTAACTGATTTATATTTCATTTTAAATAGCCACAGCTAAAGGCTCTCCTATTGGACAGTGACATTATAATCTCAGATGTCCCCTTCTTTAATATTGTGATTAAACCTTGTAAGGCAGATTAAAGGGAGTATTTTTAAAAGAAGCTTGTATATCTGTGCTTGCCGTCTAAAATCTTAAACACAGACAGATAAAGACACCTGTGTGGTACAAGCACACCTGTGCGGGGCCATAGCCTGGGAAGTGCTCAGCATCCCCGGAATCTGCTCGGGGTCCAGGGGAGGACCGTGCTGTGCTTCCGTCTCACTCAATGCCATGCAGACGGTCAGTAAGGAGCAGAGGGTTTTTCTTTTCCTGCTTGTGGGAAACAAGGGAAGGAAAGGAAAAGAAATCTTCAAAGCTGCAATTAGAAAAGTTTACCTTATGCAGATAGCCGTTGAGTAAAGGGGACAGCAAAACCCATACTGCTCTCCATAGCAAATTTTTCAAAGAGCACACTTGTAAAAGTTTTTACAGACTCTCAGAATCTTCCCTGCAGTCTTTGAAGTAAGGAGATAGAAGTTCCCATTATCCTCCCTTCTTAGGGAGGCATACCTTTCACTGCTTCCCAATACCTGTTCTTCAGATACGTATTGATGAAAGCCAAATGCATATAGATAACACAGACATAAACACAATGGCTGTTCCCGTACAACAAACCATAATAATAATGGCTTGGGAGTTTCTTTTCTTTTTAAAAAAAGGCAGAAAGAAAGAAAGGAATGTAGATGTTTAAGTTCAGGTCAGTATCTGTTAACACCCACTGCGGTTTTCCCTCCTCATCTTTATTCAGTAGCATACATTCTCATTCCTTCATCTCAGGTAATGTGTGAGTGCCTCCCAGCTGCTTTCAAACTTTGTTTCGAAGCCTTGTTAGCACTTCAGTATAATGAAAGCCTGCACTGCAAAGCCTCTGACATTTAACATTTCATTTTCTCTGGGCCCATGTCAACAGCGTAATCAGGAACATACGAAATCATAATGTTCATTCCAGCCCATCACGGGATGGAAAAATAAATCTTGTTTGGTGGAACTTAAAAATCACATTCCCTAAGTGAAAAAAAAATGCTGCAAAGAGAAACACTAAAAGTCATGTTAGGCTAACATTGCGAATAAGAATAAGGCCCACCGGTACACACCGATGGCCCCCGGTGGATTAACGCTGCCTCCTGCGTTGTTCCCAGGTGATAGACCTGTACTGGGGCGTGGACGAGGACGAGTGGGACAGCCCGGAGCTGCAGAAGACGCGCATGAGGCTGCTGGAGGACTGTCTGAAAACTTCTGCAGGTCCATGTTTTGTTGTGGGTATAAAACACTAATGCTTTCTATTACATTCTAGAATGTGACAATTCTTGCTGACTCGTGTTCCCTGAAGGGCTTTTAAAATAGGGAGAAAATACTTGCTTTTCTACTTCTGTTTAAAACTTTAAACTGTCTCCTTGCCCTCAGTGTGTGATAACAGAACGCTCAGGTTCCCTGTAAAGAAAGCACTGCAAATTAATAGGGAATGATATGAAATGGTAATTAAAAAAAAAGAAATGGTAATCAAAGAGATGGCGTGGGTTTGACAGTTCCCACAACGCCAGTGATCGGCGATCAAGATTACTGAATGGAGTCCTGCAATAATTATCTTAAATTTTCTTATATTGTATAATGTATTTAATCATAGTGTCTCTATCTACCAACATTAGAATTTCTGACATTTTTTTAAGCTTGGAGGCTGAAATGTTGTAAAAGTAAACCAAATATACTATGTCAAATCTGCCAATAGGAAATGATGCCCTGTAAAAATTTTATGCAGTGATTTCCAGCTAGAGGCTCATTATAAGATACAAATTCAAGGGGAACATTGCTACTAGTTTGTCATTATTTTCTAAACAATAACCACTCCTCTGTGTAAACACAATGGTAATAAGTTAAGAAGGTCAGTCTATGGCAGGGGATTGTGCAGAAACTGTCTTAATTTAGGCCCTTATCTTAAATCCAAACTGATCCTGCCAGTTGATGGGAAAGTTGCCCCTTTGAACACAGAAAGTTTAGAGTCTGACAGATGAGGGGTAACATTACTAGTGAATGCTATGAAGAAAATGCCAAATCACGCCAGTAAAAGCTGGGTTCAGCATATGAACAAAGGTGCTTTTAATACTTATTTGCATATCCATCTATACGCAGCTCCACATAGGATTAAGATGACAAAGACCATATCAGAAATCTGACCGGTTAATCAAGTCCTTACCAAAGATAACAAAGTACTTGGGAGCTGTACAATATGGTATTTTTAGTATCAGTACTTGGATCAATTATTCATTTAATCACCAAGTACTCACTGACGCTACTCTGCGCTCCCGAGGCTGCTCTCAGTGCTGGGGGTGTGATCCGGGGGAACCATATGAAACAGTGGCTTTGTAGGACTGTTTCCGATGATTTAACCTTAGAACCGAACTTAGGAAATAAAACTCTCTGCCCTCATGGAGCTTCCATTCCGACATGGGGGCAGGGGTGAGAGCAAGCAGAAATCAGAGGGTTGAGTGGAAGCAGCACACCAGGTGGTGAGCAATGCTGTGGAGGAAAACACAGAAAGGAAGGAGGGGACGGGGCAGCAGTGAGGTGAGAGGCTTGTTTCTTTCAGTCACGTAGCTGGGCAAGGCCTCACGGAGAAGGTGACCTTGGAGGGGAGATCGGAAGCGGGGTGGGAAATACCCAGATCCGAGCTGTCCAGGGAGAGGAGTCGGGAACGTGATTGGCAGTTCAGGGGGCACTAAGAACAAAGGGTTGGGGGGAAGGATGGGGATGCAGATGCAGGCCATACCGTGGGCTTTATCATCTCAAAGTTGGCTGTAAAGGTTTTACTTTTACTTTAAATGACCTGAGAAGCCACAGAGTGTTTTAAGCAGAGCGCTAAAGTGATCTGACGTAGTTTAAGGCCCTACGGTGGCTGCTGGGGGTGTGGCAGAAGGCGGAGCAGGGAGACCGTTAGAAAGCTGCTGTATCAAGCCAAACAAGACAAATACATGGTTTGGACGGGCGGGTGTGGGGGGGGGGCGGTGGGGGGTGATAAACAATGGACATGTAAAACCAGCATCCTGTGGTCTGAACAGAATATAAAAAGTCCTGAAAGCCATGTTAGATTTCTGAAGAGCTGGTGTGGCAGAGGAAGGAAGACTGTTCCCATGCATCTTCAGAAAATAGAGCTAGGCCCAGTGGATGGAAATACAAGGAGACAGATTTTAGCTCTAGCTGGAGAAATTGGAGGGTGCAGCTCTGTCTGGTTTTAGGGTCATGTATCCCTGGGTCCTAACATGTCATAGCTGGTGTGACATTGGAGGACTTTCTTTACTACCCAAAGCCTTAGTTGCTTTATCTGTAAAATGGAGGTATTGATAATAGTTATCTACCTTCTGGGGTCATTTTGAAGACGCACTGAAGTTACAGGGTGCTTACAGTGTCTCACGCAGCAAAACCCACAATAGTGTTGGTTGTTGTTTGTTGTGATGATTATGATTATCTCTCAAAGCTGTCTAAAGGCGAAATCACCTGCCTCAAATCGTAATGACCGTGTCAGCAACAAAATTGTCATTAAAGGAAAGGATGCAAACCTCTGTGGCGGGGAGTGGTGCCGTAGAAGAGATCCGAACACTGGAAGGCAAGCTCGAGCAGATTTCATCATGCTTAGGAAGCCGGATTTGGGAGGCGCGCAGTGCTGTGGGTGTGCCTGGGAGTCGCGGCTGCTGTGATCTCCGCAGCTCTGTCCTGATCCAGCCTCAGAAGCTCAGGGGTGAGAGAGACATTCTCCCCCTCCTATCGCTCCAGAGTGCCATATTCAAACCAACCAAAATTAGTCATGGCCATTAATTTCCAACCACTTGCAGGTTCTGAGAGTAAAGGTTAACTGATAGAACATCAGTAACAACTTTATTGAGCGAAACAATTAATTTATCCCTCCTCTGCTCCTTGTTACGTGTTGAAACTCAGGGCACCCACGATCCCACCCTATGGGTAGAGCTGGGATTATTCACCCCAGTGATCCTAAATCACACAGGGCTTATCTCACTGCTTGTAGGAGAACACAGTGCTCTTTATAGCCTTTCTTGTTGTAACTATGGTAACAGTGGGCATACACGTGTCACTTTTGAGCTCCAGTTCCTTTGCCCAGTGCTTCCTTGTGATATTTTTGGAAGTCATGATGACCCCTGTGGGCTGCAAGGCATGACATGTTAGCTCACCTGATGGCAAGAAAATTCACCGTTGCTGGATGAAAAAATGTTTTTGTGTCTTCAAAGTCTTCACAGATACTAGATCTTCCGTTAGATACAAATAAATTCAGAAGCAAACAAACTTTCCTTTTATGTACCCAGGGAATTAGGGCCCAAGGGGAACTGGGACTTAAATGTTGGATGCACTCAGCTCTTTTTAACTTCGTTTCCTGAAAGTTGTGCTTTGGGATATGGCTCAAGCTGCTGGAGACACGCGGGCTGTGCCTGCTGACCCTGCACAGCTGCTTAAACACAAACATGCTTTTTGGTGACGAGGAGGAGAGGGTGATGGAGTAAGGTGCCCAGACCTGTGTCCAGGTTTCACTTTCAGAGAATTAACTCAAGAAACATTACATATGGAGAATACATCATCGCTACGAAGGAAGAACAGCGTTTGTAGACACGTGTAGGGGAACAAACATATAGTAGGAAAAACCCAGAATTTTTATTTTACAGCCTGAGTTAGAGGCCTGGTTCTGATAGGGCACCAGGTCGCTATCCTTACTGTGTTTAATGGTCACAGCTTCAAAGAGGGGAAATAATAACAGTTAAACTACAAGGAAAAGTAAATGTTTAATAAATATCAAAAGTTTGTTGTGGGACTTATGTGGGAGTCCTTTGTAAACTATAAAGGGCTTCACAATCATTAGTTACTGCTAACTTATGATTTAAGGTATTTCAAATGAGAATAGAATGTTTTTATTGATAACTGGAAACTTTTCCCTTTGAAAATGTTGATAGTATAAATGTAGAAAGCATTAACACTTGATTCAGACAGTCAAGAATTAAAGTCAGATGAAGGGTTTTAACTTCATTCTTGACCAGCATCATAAATGTAGAGTATGGATTTGCTAGATAAGAATTTGCTGGGACTTACTTTGTAAAACCTCTATCATTTTCAAGGAGGAATCTTGACCAGGATTTGGACTCACACTTGAGTCCAAGTCACGATCTGCTTCTCCTCGTAAGTGCAGAGAACCGCCTCAGCCTTCACAGTGTGTGGAGCGTTCAGCAGACTCTTCCCCCCGACCACGTAGACCATAAAAAATATCCTTATGGAAAGGGAGAGGAGCATTGCCTTTGGAGAGATCAGGGTCCCTGTGAATGCTAACCATTCACATCCCTGTCCCTCTTCTGTTATAAGAGGGGCACGCTTCTGTTATAACACACACAACTGTGTCAGGGGGACAGAGACTATTCTTCTGAACCATTCCTTCAAAGTTAGAGTGTCCCAAAAGAATTGCTTGTGGAGTTTGAGCATTGACCATGGACCTTGAGCAAAGTTCTGCCTCTAGGAAGGAGTTGATAAAAGCAAGCAATTTGTTGGTTTAAAGAATTGGAGTTTAAAAAGCTTAGTTATATATAGCATTGCAGGAGCTGCCCCAAGGTGCATGGGAGCTCTGGGGGATCCAGATAGTATCCCACCACATTCCCTCACTCCTCAGTGTAGATTCACTGAGGGCAAGGCCCTGGCAAGCCAAGCCAGGCCCATGCACCCAAAAATGGGGCACTTGTTACCACTCCTGGAGACGGGTAAGCGGTTCAGTGACTTCATACTCAGAGGGACATTCACCATGTCTCAGAGTCAGGACTAAGAGAATGCTGCCTGCCATATGTTTTGACAATTTCCAGAAGGCTTAGAGAGCCAAAACCTGTACAGCATCCTTCTTGGGGCTACTGGACCACACAGACATAAACAGACCTAATTTATCCACATCCAATAGAGAAGTGGCCAAGACCAAGAGTGAGGCTGCTGCCATCCTCCTTACCAGAGTGTCGGCAGACACCAAGGCCGACCTGCAGCCCTGCCCCCATGTGCGTACACACACACTGTGCCGATAGCAGCACCGATGGCTCGGGACAAAGAGCGGGCCAGGCTCCAGCCCAGCACAGGCAGCTCCTGGCGGCTGCACTGCCGACCAGTGTGCGAAGTGGGAGGAAGAAAGCTTAGGATCCATACATCCATATTTTGGACAGAGCTAGATTTTAGACCACAAATACGAGAATTTTTAAGGGGTTGAACTGAGAAATATATCGTTATTGAGGAA